CTATGCTTTGAACCAACTATTTCAAACTTGGACTCATCCATCCATAACACCTTTTTCCAATCATCAACTTTTTAGCAAATTTCAGTCTCTTGACAATATTTGGAGATCGAAGAAAATGATTTTTAACTGCTACACGACAAAATATTCCATTCTCGTTGAATCTTCTTGATACTGTAGAACTGGACACTTCTCTGCCATTTGGTACAAGGGCGTTTATCTCATGCTTGAGATCAGTGGCAGTCTTCCTTCTGTCCCAAAGGTTGCATAAACGAAGATACTTAACATCAGTATCATTGACTTTAGGTGTTTCAAACTTACCTGTCTCAATCTCATGATCTAAGCCTAGAGTGTACTTGACAGTGTTTGAGGAGCATTTCAAGTCAGGCAGCAATTTGTCAGAGAGTCCAACCAGCATCACGTAAAGCTTTTATGCAAACTCTCTGCTCTATTGTTTTTTGGGCCGTGGCATGACAACAAAACTTAATATGTAGTGTTAAGTACTGTTTTTATCAAGGTTTATTTGTGGAGTGCTATTAAATTGGTTTCTTCTAGCATATACTGGTACCATATGCTAGCTTCTTTCTATATAGTTAAGACACTGCATGGGGTACCATGAGAATTATTTCAGACCCTAATTTTGATCAAACAGAACCCTCCTGACATGTCCTTGGTACAAATATATGAGAATTCTAAAGAATGATAAGTATTCTCACCCTGGTTCATTCAATTATCAACAGGGATCAGTGAAGCATTACCACCATAATGTTGAAATTTACATTCTATAATGGCATGGAAGAATTAGTCCCATAAAATGGAAAGAATGACAAATTATTCTCTTATCTTAACACTTTTGCACAGTACTGTACTTCCTGGTCATACATACATTTACCACATTTCACTATCCAAAAATTCTCATCGATAGGCCATGTTCTCAGTTGAATAGCAAAAAAAAAAAAGAAACATTATTCAACTGATAACAAGAGTAAATGACACTAAAAATGGTCACTGAAAAAATAAAAAGATTTGTATGTATCTTAACTATTTCTGTAAGGCAAGAACAGCTGTTATGTAAATCAAACTGGAGTAAGGATGTGTGATGGCACAAAGATCATAAAAGCAAAATGTAAAAAATAAATCACAGTTTAGTAGATCCACCCCTATATTATGGTAAAATTGTAAACATTTAGAAAAAGTGATGAAACATTCTAATACGATTCCTGATTATTTTAATGCTTTACTTTACTGGGTATTAAAAGTTTAAACTAAAAATATAAGTTGACACTATTTCAATTGTAATAACTTTCTTAACACTGTTGATGAAACCTTTGGCTGAATAAGAGAGAAAGAGGGATATGATTCAAAACCATTTATCAATAACAATGCTCATTAGCACAACTGGGTTACAGATCCTGAAGTCTTAGTTAAAATGCTATTTATAACAAATTATAATACCATGTGGCAATAGTGTATTCTTATAACTAGACCAACCAAAAGTGAACTACTTATCAAACTGTGGGGCATTAAAACTATCGTAATATGAAGAATACTAATCTCTTTTTTTTTCATCACATGCATCACTGATTTAAGATAAGTTTTTTGAATCAATTATATTTGTAAAGCATACAGATATTTACCACTATAAAAGTGTGATGCTCCTATCAAAAGGAATCCAGTAGTATCATGTATTCCTGCAGATCATACTTGAAGTTGAATCTTAGTAAAATTTATAATAGTCTAGCACTCACCAAGGATGAGTCCAATGGCACAATCAGGATATAGTGATGCTCCTTTGATAAGGGTACCAGTAGTATCATTGACTACTGCAACAACATTTACCTGAAGATCCTAAATGAAGAGCATTTTGTAAGAACAAACAAATGTTACAGGAAAACATGGAGAATATTAAAAAAAAACTTCTAACTAGACATGATAGTGTTTAGTTCATATCACCGAGAAGTGTATTGAATGGATGAGTCAAGCAACTTCTTCTCTAACAACAGTAAACTTTAGAATGAAAAGGTTTATAAAAATTCATGTAACACAAAAAACAGTGACACATTTTTCAACAATGCATAATATAAAATTACTTTGAATAAACTGACTTACTCCTCGTCTTTCAAGGGCATCATTTAACATTTTCACTGCATCTTCGCCAACAACACTTGGAATGTTAAAGCTTTTTGTCCAAGTGACCAAAACGCCAATGTCTAATGCTTTTTGGACCATTGGGAAGGAAAAACAAAAACCTAAAGAAATTATAAATAGCAGATTTATAGATATATTTAATTTTGTCACAAGTAAATAGCATACTAGTGTGAATGAATTATGTGTACAGTATATATTTTAGTAATGAGCATATAGCATCAAATGTCATAAGAGTGTAATATACTAACAGACATAAGTTGTATATGAGTGTATTACGTCTACATCACTATTTTATTTCATAAGTTACTCACATAAATGTAAATTGTATGCAACTATATCGTGTTTACTGTGTTACATAAGGATAATTTGTACATGAAAAATCAATGAAAATATAATTAAAAATTAAAGCCTCAAGATCAAAAATCCATCAAAAATTTTGATTACTTGGATAGCTGTAATAATTGAAAACAGTAATAACAGACTACACTACTTTCAATTAGTTGATTATTTTCATGACACTGATTTAATCGTAATTTTGATTAATCGATTATATTACATGATAGTAATCAATGATATTGATTAATTGACATAATCAACCAACTCTACTGCTCTAAACTAGAACGTATGGAAAGGTTAGTTTGGCTCTGACAGACAACATTACTTTCTTTACTTGCACATACTTTTTCACAAGCTGGTAACAAGTAATATTTATCGCTACTTTGAATCAAAATAAAGACAAAATATTTTGGTATTCATATTAACCAAAATAACTTCTTAACTTTAAAAATTTGTTCAGTTGAACATGAATATAGTGAATAGTTGACTCACGGTTTAGAATTTTCCAATAACTAAAATTCATAATCTGTTGAACAATATGATATTTTATTCTTTTTCATTACAACACACAAGATGAAAGATTTTTAGGAGCATTCTTCCAGCTAAATCATTATCATATAGACTGGTTAAAAGGAAAGCTAACAAAATTGTTTTATTGCCCAAAATTAAAAGAAAATGTTAACAGTTCTCAAACACTGTCATGGTTAGAGCTAAATGTACAATGTAACATGTATGGTAAAACATGAAGTTTTTAAATGAGATTCTTAAAATTAAAACATGTTTTTATCGTCATGGTAAAAATCATTTCAAAAATATTGCAATGTTATTCTCATCTGACAATATAATTTTTAATTTGTTAATTACAGTGTTTGTAGTGATCAATTCTGACATATACATTAGAAACAGTATTGATAAGGAACAATTATGAATAAACCTATAATTTAAAATTCCACACATACTTATGCCTGTACATAATAATTAGCACAAAAACCTTAAGTATGTATTGCAAGGAACATACTTTTTCAATGCAAACAAAATATTCTATGTTAATGTTGTTCTTAAAACTCTGGTACATGTACCTACCAAGAGGTAAATGCTTTTCCAATAAATCATTTTTCTTCATGAAATCATGTATGCATTCAGCAAGAAAATCAAAGAGCTAAAAAAGAAGTGATATAAAGATTAACCAAGATGTATGTCTTCATCATCAGAAAAAAAGAAACAACCAAATCTACAACTTATAGCTTTAAAAAAATACTTTAACAAATCAGTGTTTGGTTATAATATAACATAACATAATGTTTTGGGACAACATGGAACCTATTGGTCCATCACAGCTATTCCATCTTCTAAACTATACTAAAACTATTAATAAATAAATTTTTTAAAATCTTAAAGCCAGCCCTTGTCATTTATATACTTAAAGCTTTTTCTTAAACTTACTTAAATTTACATCCAAAGGCAACCCATTACAAAGGCCAACCACTCTGCTAGAAAAATAAAACTGTCTTAGCTGAAGATGACTCCTACCTTACCAAAATTTATGTGTCCCCTAGTCCTACTATTCTCACTGTCAAGTATGAAGAAAGATGATTCATCAACACTATCAATTCTCTTTACAATCTTAAACACCTCAATCAGATCCCCTGTAATTCTTCTTTTTTCAAGAGAAAACAAATCGAGAGATTTCAACCTCTCCTCGTATGACAACCCCTCCATCCCAAGCACCATTCTAGTAATCCTTCTCTGAACCCTTTCCAACAACTCAATGTTTTTCCTAAGGTAAGAAGCCCATTAGTAAACACAGTGTTCCAAGTGTGACCTAATCACTAGCAACAGCACACTGTTTGGATGATTTAAGAGACTGATCAATTATTACACCAAGATTCCTTTCTTCCATGACACTGTTATGGTCATTTCCATCCAAATTATACTTATAATTCAAATTATGATAACTTACATGCATTATCTTGCATTTATTATAATTAAAACCCAATTGCCATTTATTTGCCCAACTCACTAATGATCTAAGTCCTTTTGTAAATCAGCAACATCTTCTTCAGAGCTAGCAACACCCAAGACTTTAATATCATTTGCAAATTTAAGTAATGTATTGACCATTCCTTCATCTATGTCATTGACATAAATCAAAAAGAGTAAGGGCACTAAGACTGAGCCCTTAGGTACCCCACTTGTGACATGAATCCAGTTTGACTGAACTTCATTTGTAACAACCCTCTGCTTTCTTCCATCCAGCCACTCTTCTATCCAATTGTCTAACTTATCCCCCACTCCTTTAGAGATAATTGTTTTTTAAAAGCATTCTGTGTGGTACCTTGTCAAATGCTTTCTGAAAATTCAGATACATCAAATTTACACTCTTACCCTCATCTACATAAGTAGTAACCTTTTCAAAGAATGTCAAAAGATTTGTAAGGCAAGATTTTCCCTTAGTGAAACCATGTTGACTTTGTTAAATGACTTTGCAAAGCATCTTTTATCAAACTTTCCAAAACTCTTCCCACAACCGATGTGGGGCTAATGGGTCTGTAATTACTGGGACAATTTTTATCACCTTCCTTGAAAAGAGGAGTTACATTAGCTAACTTCTAATCCTCTAGTACCTGCCCAAGGACTGAAAAACAATAGTAGCATGTGGCTCACATATCCAGTCTTTAACCTCCTTCACAACCCTTAGGGAAATATTATCTGGCCCAAGAGCCTTATTCGTTCTTCAAACTTCTCAATTTTTTCTTAACCAGCTCAAAATTAATGCAGTCATCTTGTTCAGTTGCATTTCCATCTATCAAATGTTCAAGATTTGGAAAACTGCTTAAAAAATAGAAGAATGCAAATGAAAAATCTTCGTTTCAAAATAAATCTAAAATCAAGGGGTATTTAATCATCCATGAAAGAAGCTATCACAAACATGTACATTACAGTATGAGGGAACTGTTAGGAAATTTGTTAGTGATAATTTTGGACATGATTCAAAATTATCTCCTAGTGATAATAAGAAAACAATGCTATTATCTAGATATTATAAATAGAATATCATCTTGGTTATCTTATTTAAATTATTCATGCATGCACCAACAGAAACCTGTCAATGTTTCGACCAGATGTTTTGGATTGCAATAGTTTTTTTTCAAAAGTTTACCGGTTCTCCATGATCTCCAATTCGTATAAATTCTGGAACTGTGTAATACTGTACATATGACTCAGCTTGGTGACCTGGCTTCAGACGAATTAGAATCACTCGAAAATTTGTCCCACCTAAGTCTAAAGCAAGGAAGTCTCCATCCTCTGAAAGATGTTTGTTTTACAATGAAATATGCAAAACACTGATAATATTAAATTAGTAGTAAAATGAAAAATGAAATGATAACCTTATAAAGACAGTATATTTTTCAATGGATCTTTTAACCCTGCATTAGTCTTCTGGGGTCTTCAAAGACACCAACTATTTTGTAAACATCTATTCCAACAGATAGAAGTACGTACATGTTTGTTGTTCTCAGTAGTTTCAGTATTCAGCTAGTTTGTGTTAAATTCTTACACTTAGTTTAGGTGGTAAAAAAGAAACAAGTTGTAATATTCAATGTTGATTTATTGATTAATAAAGGAAAAGATTTTGAACGTTAATGTTTTTTTGTTTCTAAAGTATTAATTTATTGTTATTTAAATATTATTAACAGGCCCCCTCACAAGCCAGTGGGGTACATTTTAGTTGAAAAAAAAACCTCCCCAATCCGGTTTGTCTTAATCCGAAATGAATTTTTTTAACATTTTTATTGGCTAAAAAGAAGGCATTTCCTGCACTCTTTTAGCACTGGTGCTCCAAAAAAAAAAATGATTTGAAGTGCATCACAAACTTAATGGCCGAACACAAGAAGCATGGAAGTCTCCAAAAGACCTGCAGAGGAATTCAGAAACTATTTAGGACTACCTTGGTGGATATTGTCAGTGAGCCAAGTACAATAGTATGTCTGTAACTGCTTTCAAAGTGTTCCTGTCTGCTCATCCTACTGCTGACTATCGTGATGCTTCAACCTTTCCTAATGAATTGCAGGTGAAATCATTTGTATCTCAATTGAAAGCTAAACATAAAAAGGTGAGAGCAGAAGCATAAAAGGTTGGCAATTGTTTAATTAATGATGCTGAGAATATGGCTTTATTGATATATACTGAATTTACTCCAAGGGGGGTAGATCTTAGTACTAGCTGGTATGGAGACTTGAAGATGCTGCATTTCACTTAAAATTTTATCAATTAACAAATGAAATTTGTCTTGAAAAGATATGTCCTATGTCCAAAATCAACCTCTTTGGGAGTTTTTGGATTGAACTTACTTTTAATATTCAACAAACTGTAGTGTAAAGACATCTCTTGGCTCCTGAGGGATGTGTTAAGTTAATTTTTTATGATGGGGTCTGCTAGAACCCCTGAAGAGTGACTGTGGAAAATTTTTACATAAGAATAATGCAGGGTTAAAAAAAAATTGTTTTTAAAAGTTTGCTATTGATAATTTAATTTAAATTTTTTGGCAAACATTTGAATGAAAGTGTTATTTAAAAAAATATATGTTTATTAACACACTTACACTAGATTTTCTTAACTTTTTAAAACACTGTAATTTTACTTCAAATTTAAAAATGTAAAGAACAATAAATACCAACCAGAAAAGTTTCTCACAGACACATAAAAAACAATTATTTACTGACGTTTCTTTCCAGTCAGTACCATTTATGAGCCTAGTTTACACAAAAATGTATTTTATAGCTTACACTATGGTCTTGACAACCAGTTGGCTTCAACAATCATTATGGGTTAACATTTAGGCTGACACTTCCATTTATTATCTGGAAACACTGTCATATTTTCATTAAAAATAAGAACTACAGAAATGCATCCCATAAAGTTCTTAATGTATTCTCTTTCAATTTGTTCAATACCATATTTATGTAAAAAAGCTAACTTTAAGGGGAAATGATAACATGGTTTACACTAGAATTATGATTTTTTTTAATTACTACTAGTTATTGCAATTAAGAGAGAGAGAGTGGATTTAGGTTTCAACTGATATTAGTGATAAAGTAGTTGTAGAATTATCTCAAATGAAACAAGAAAGACGAATAATTCCTTGAGTTGGTCACTTTCTGGTTTGGTATCTTAGCGATGGTTTCTGAGCTTGTTGGGTAGAGAAATAAATGAAAGTAAGTAGCAATCATCTTTTAAAGTAAAACTCTTTGTCACTGTTGATTTTTTTAGCATGTATAGTTGTATAATGCCTATTGACTATATATAATAGAGTCTACTGACTCTATGATAGTCATATTTTGTTGTATGCTACCTCCAATATAATTTTCAACAAATGAGATAAATCCTGGTTTTTTTTCATGAAATCTATGCCACCAAGATGCTTCTGGTTGAGGGAAAGATCCTGTGTTAAAGTTATTGTTTAAATAGTAAATGCTGGTAAAGCATGAGAAGCCAATAAGACTATAACATTTGTATTAATCATGTTGAATGTGCAATAAAACTTCCAGTTTACATGAGTTATATTTTATTACCTAAAATATGTAACTACTTGAATACAATGTTTCTAATCATGTTGGATGGTATGAGTCTAGCTAGCTGGCCCATGTGCCAACTGCCTTGGCAACCAACCAAATGAGTTGAAGTTATGTCACACACACACACTATATATATTCCCATTTTCTGATACAATTAGCCTGTGTATGCCATGCAGATCCAATGAAAATCACAAAACTGGTATGGCACTGGCAAGTGAACCAATTAATAACAATTACAGTAATCTTCTATATTCAAAATGCTACAGTATAAGTGAGTGAAATACATGTATCACAGGTTTATTTATTGATACATGACATTAAAATTCTGTAAATCTTACTCCTGGATTGTGTACAAGCAATTTTTTTATATTGGATTCTAAGTTTACCAGAAAAACTGAAATATTAACCAGCAAGTTTTCTAGCATCTGAATTATTAGAGTAACATAAGCATTTTGCTTTGATTTATATTCAATGGAATTCTAGTTACAAAGTTTGTGAAACTTCTACTATAGAAGAATCACAACATCAAGAGTATAAGGTATTTCATTAAATCAATTTAGTGTTAAAGCATAATGTACAAAAGATTTGAACAAAACATAGATAAATTATCATCAGAAAATGCTTGTCCCTTAAAAAGTCTGCAAAGACTTTTTTCATTCTGTTTATCACCATTAATAAGAGCAACATTTTTATCATACATATTTTTTTTATACAGACACTGTAATTAATATGTGAATCTTTTACACCAGACAATTTTGCTTGCATTTTTCATGCTTTCACAATCTTCTTTAATAATACATTGACAAAAGATGTTTATATGATCAAATAATCAATATATTTTTGATTAATAATTGTCATATTTTCTTTACTAACCTTTCCCATTTGGAAGCTCAGGAATAAAGGTATTCTCCATCTGAAGAGAAGATGCCTTAGGTGGATTTTGCATTAAGCCCAATTCCATCTCTGACTCAAATGTATCTTGAATTTGCTTGATCAGTTCCGGAGTGAGAACTAATGCAGAAACTATTTGGTTCACCTAAAATGAATATTAGCCATTAAACATAATTTTAGGATGTATTTATAAACATATTGTATTGATTACAAATCAAAAGAAGTAATCATCTCTCGCACAAATCACTATTAAGCCTCACTTTTGTGATGATAAAATCAGTTTACTTGATGTACTAATAATATTAATCTCAGAGGCACTGTTTTTCACTGGCCCTTGCTTAAATCTTACACCAATTAGAATGGACAACAATATCACATTCTCCTAGGGCATGTTGAAGTACACTTGACTTAATAGGTAATCTTAAGCTGACATGTTTTCCACTTCCATTAGAACTGATATAGAAAGTAAATTTATAAAGTACAAATGATGATTTTAAAGCAGGGATTTGATCCTTTAATTAAAAACAACACAAAACACAAGCACTATTATGTTTAAATACACATCTCAACTGTATCTTTGGATACACCTTTCTAATGGCATTCTGTAACTAATTTTGAATAATTAAGGGATATTTACTCTTGTATGGGAGACTGATAACAGGATATTTAGTATGGTATTCTGAAGACAATACAATGAGATAGCACAACTTTAAGGTTTGTGAATAAAGCTAAGATTCTGTTAAGACAGTTTTATTTGCTCACAGGGTGATCAATTAATTTATTTAAATAATTATGTAGTATTTTATCAGTGATAAAAACCAGAACATCATTTTTACATAACTCTTTCATATTATCAAATATGTTATGCTAAACCTCATATATGGTTGATATCATAAGCACAATGAAACAGTATTTTCATTTAATTTTACTTAAACATATTCATTAATAAAAAAAAACTGTAAATGTATTTTCATGGTACACTTCACACTTGAAGTGACCATTATTATTACTTATTAACTCTCTCACCCTGAGTATCCTTTACTGCGCATGACACAAGGTTCAAAATTTTATCAAACTACTCTTTGTTTATGTTATACCAATTAGTATAGAATAAAATCTTGGCTAATAATCTATATTCTGATAGTATATAAGTTTTACATTCTTAATTTTATAAAGCAATACTTCCCCTAGTATGACACATGACACATTTTCTCTAGGCACCTACTTTTCTCTATTTTATCCACCATCCCACCAAAAAGTAAAAAATTCAATGCAAATTACTCACTATAAAATCTTCATTGCTCAGACAAACCATAATTTTTAAACAGAGCTATCAAATACAAAATCAGATCCCTCCTGCCACATCCTCTCTTCCAGGATTTATTAATAGTTCTCTCTTACATTTAATTATATATTACCTATAACCAATAGAAAGTCAAGGTTTTAATTTATCAAATGACATATTGTATAACATTGTGTTATGAACAGATAATCATCAATTTCACTCAGAGTACAAGATCCTTTCCATAGGAAAACTAATGATTAGCTTGGATGAATTTGTAACAGCTCTTGTCGTATAGTTAGAAAGCCAGAAAAATTATGAGTTAGGAGGAATTGTCTACTTTTTACATGTTATTAGTCTGTGTTCTTTGGTTCATTATTTAATTAAGTAAAAATTATTTAGTGCATTATTTATTACCATTAGTATAAAAAAAAGTAGGGTTAAGTGTCATCGACAATCAACAGCAAGAAAAAAGAAGATTGGGTAAGTACTTTATTTCTTGTTTTTCATGTTTATTCTTTATCTATAATTATAAAAGTAACTAAAATGTAAAAATAGGGATCTTTTTAGGTTAGTTAAAGTTATATTAGGTAAAATAAATAATAATAATATAATAAAAATATTTCAGGAGGCATGCAAGCAGGCAGCTCGGAAGAGCTCGTGGGTAATGAGAAAAAAAAGGAGAGTAATTTATATTTAGATCTTTTTTTGGTGGTTACGAAATCAGTCAAATTGACCAACCTTGTATAGAGGTAGGGTAGAGAAAATAACAGACAAAATATAAAGTTTTCCTGAAAACAAACATTTGAAATGTACTTAGGAGATTTTAGAGATTACACAAATATAATTTGAGATGAAGAAAAGTACTTTTAATCTTAACATGAAAATCACTTTGCACACAGACTATTCACAACAAATAATCAATATATTCAAGGACAGATCTTTTTTTAGTATATTAAAAATACTTCACTAAAAAACATGATTTTTTGTATGTGAAAGGCTTATAATGTTTACTGAAATTTATCAAATTTTGTGAAGATATACACACTATATGAAAAGTTAGTAGTATAAATCTATAAAGACTTTATACAAGCACAAAAAAGTCACGTGTTCAGTAAAATTGACCAAGCCCATGTGGAGAGAGTTAATGTCCAGGAATGAAAGTCTATGGTCTTCCTGATATTCCACAGTAAACTTTGTACTGCTATGCCTACTGTTCAAATATTGAAGAAACTGGGAAGCTTGATCAGAGTTTTCAAAGATGGTAAATGCATCAACAACATTCCTACAATAGTAGAGACATTTAAACTGTTGCAGGAAATTTTCTAACAATTGCTTTTCATAAACACACAACAGATTGGCCAAAAATGGCATCAATATCAAATCCATAGTAATACTACTGATCTGATCATAAAGGTTTCAATAGAGTAGAAAAATGATATTCTTTAGTGGCAAAGTTCATTAATTTAAAAAAAATTGATTTAGGAATAGTCACATTGTTATAAATCAAGTTAGTACTTAGCTGTATGTCTCTTCCAAAGGTATATTTCTATATAATGATTCAACATTAAACTGGCACAATGCGCATTACTATCAAACATCAACTATTGTATTTCATGAGAAAATTCAAAGTGTATTCATTGGTGATAAACCTCTTTAGAAATTAAACTAAAAACTAATTAATGCATGGTTATAGGTAGATGTTCTGGTTTTCAGGTGACATTTTTTTTTCTAAATTCTGGTCAATAATTTTTACAAATTGGGCAGAATTTTTCAATATAAAAAGGGCAATATTGAGAGAAATGTTTTGTGTGTAGTCAAGAAAGAATAAATATTTGTGTTGAAATGTGGTTTTAATCAGAAAATAAAAAGTCCTTAAACAAACAAAATACAGCTGACTATTCTCTTAGTCTGAAAAAATTACAAGTTGGGTACAAATACATCTGCTGGTTTGGTTTTGCCAATAATTTGCAATGTCTTTAGTTACAAAAAAAAATCTTAAACTCCAACCCAATACTTCAGATGTCTACTCTCAGTAATCTAAAAAAAAAGAGTAAAGTACAACTAATTAAAAGCTTTAAAAAAATCTCATTTTGCCTTCAGCTGTGTTGCCTTTTGGTTGGTTAATAAAACAACAAGCATGGAAAAAAGTTTACCATAATAATTTTGTTACAGATGCCTATTAACATATATGAACATTTGATGTTTAAGTGTATTTTCAGACATTTTATTATGGTCTGGTCTTTGAATATACAACAATTTACTGAAGGACCAATCTACTGCTGCACTTCTAGTATGAATGCAGAATAGAGTTAATGCTGCTGCTGACACAGTTTGGAATCTGGCTGCACCATCCTTCCAAAATCTCACTGCTGTGACTTTTGGATTGCCCAGTACCACTATCTCTGCAAGAAAACTTGAAATCAGAACAACAGGTACTTTGCATTTTCTGCCCATTTTTAAAATTTGTAGTTATTAAGGAAGTTGCTCCCCAATGGCTTAGCAGTACGTCTAAAAGTATATAACACTAAAAACCAGATTTCAATACCTGTGGTGGGTACAGCACAGATAGTCCATTGTGCAGCTTTATCCTTAACTAATCCAAACAAATTAAGGAGATTATTATTGAGCAAGTAAATAAAATTTATTTTAATCCCAACTACTTTAATCCTACTGCTCTACTACACTGAACCAATGTCTACTTTTTCTCTTTCCTTTTCTCACGGTCTCTCAAATGTATCCGTGCTTTCTCTCAATCTCCGGCTGCTGTTTCTTTCCTGTCCTAATCCAATTTTCATTGTTTTGTAGTGGAGTCACAGATATTTACTGCACTACAAAACATATGGAAGACCAAAACTTAGTATTTTTCATTTCATGCCATTGATCTTGGCATCTATACTGGTAAAATGGGTGGTAATATATAATTATTAAAAACAGTCAAAGCTATACCACTAATCTGAGTTCTAATATTAATAAAAGATTGACCAGATTTAGACCAAATAGGTTGATGCAATTATAATTGCAAGAACTACTCAAATTGTGTAAAACAGTCCTTAAACTTAAGCTATGCTTTTCAACATCACTGAAAATAACACTATAAGATTGTTCTGTGAAAAAAGTTTTACTTAATAGTCACCTTAAACTGGTCAATTTAACCAGCTGTTTTCTCTAACCTTTAGAAAAAGTTTATTATTTTGTAATTCAATAAACTTTATGTATACAAAATCCTTCCACCCTACTTGATTCTCCAATATCTTAAATCCCTCTACAGTCTGTCATGATAAAGATTTAAATAACTGATTTTTTTGTCTAATCTTAAAATTAAGTAATTTAATTTGAGTTTTATTATACTGTCTGGGGTGATAAAACTGAGGAACAGAAACTTTAAAGTTAAGGAAAAGAAAACATATTTTTTTGTTATTTATATTAATTGTGAAAACTAATGCCTAATATACTTTGAGAAAAAATTTTAAATGTAGTCTTTTGGTATTTCTAAATTAACACCTGTTAATCATATCTATATTTAATAATAACAGCAGCTGACATTCTCAGAAAGTCTCAAAAACACTATGAATTTTAAAACTAAAAATACTAACATTTACCTCATACTACAAACAAGCATTTTATCAAACAACAGTTGAAGTTAGAGAGTAATGTACATTGTGCTAGTTTTGATGCTGAATAATTATATATAAATATACCTTCAGAAGAAACCATACAGCTAAGTGCTCATCTGATTGACAAGAAGTTTTCCAATAATATGACTATTTCTATATCAGTTTTCGGAAATTAATTAGTTTACCCCCACAGAATCTCACTTATTTTTTTAGAATGGAAAACTTTATGATAAACACAACAGTGTTGCTATGGGTTCAAGACTTACACCACCTTTGGTGAACCTATTCTTGTTTTTATGAAAAACAATGGTTACAAAATTGCTTTCAACAACTTAAATCTCTCTCTCTACTTTCATAGGTATGTTGATAATACATTTATCATCTTTGATAAGTCTGATCAAGCTTTCAGATTCCTTCATTATTTGACCGTAGACATGGCAGTATAAAGGAACACCATAAAATTTCATTCTTGGATAGTTTAATCAATAATGATAATGGTCACTACAAATATGAAAAGTACCAGAAAAAGATATTAACAGGCTTGATTTAATTTTGGAAGTTTATTTAGAATATGTTTAAGGGAAATTCAGTCAAAATATTGTTTCACTGTACATATAAAATACCTCACACATATGGAGTTTTGCATAAAGAATTTAATAATATCAAAGAGGTTTTATGTAAAAATAAATTTCCCAGTTTTTATCATTGATAAAATACTACATAATTATTCAAATAAATTAATTGATCACCCTGTGAGTAAATAAAACTGTCTTAACAGAATCTTAGCTTCATTCACAAACCTTAAAGTTGTGCCATCTCATCGTATTGTCTTCAGAATATCATACTAAATATTCTGTTATCAGTCTACCATATGAGAGTAAATATCCCTTAATTATTTTAAATCAGTTAAATAATGTAATTAGAAGTGTGTATCCACAGATACAGTTGAGATGTGTAATTAAACTTAATTGTTGCCTATGTTTTGTTTTTTAAGTTAAGGATTGATTTCCTGCTTTAAAATCATCATTTGTAGTTTGTAAATTTACTGGTCCTTGCTGTCAGCAAGGCTATATTGATTTTACTAAAAGAAAATTGTTGACATGAGTGAAACAACATTCCAAACTAAGACCTCCTATAAAAGCAAATGTACTTAAACATACCCTAGGAGAATGTGATGTTGTACATTCCGATTGGTTTATAATCTTAGCAAGAGCCAATGACAAACAAAGCCTCCAAGTAAGAGATCTTGCTGATCCCCAAGCTGAGATCTGAGGTTAATGTTATTGAAACAACAAGTAAACTGTTTTTACTATTATAAACCTCACTTGCAATTCTATGTACAGATTTAGCCTTCTTATTTAAAAGTATACTGACTTATTTAAAAGGGGTTCAGATGAGAGAGCTACTAGGATGATTCTAAAGATGGAAGGGTTATCTTACAACAATAGATTAAGATCTTTTGATTAACTTTCTCTTGAGAAAAGAAGGGTAGGAGATGATCTTATTTATATTTACAAAATTATCCAGGGAATTAATAGGATAAAACATTTGATTTCTTTGTCTTGTATTCTGAAGATAGTAGAATTAAAGGACACAAGCTTAAGGTTTGTAAATAACAAACTAGGATCCTGTTAAGACAATTTTACTTTCCTTATTGGGTTGTACGTTTTAACTGGTATGCATAATTAGTACAATCAACAAGTACCTCATTGCCTCAATGCTATACAATTGTATCTCTCTGCTGATTCACATAACATATATACGAGGCTCAAACTAATGACATGTAATTTAAAAAGTGATGATCTCTAACACAGTTATGTAAATTACAGTAACTTCTTTCTGAAAAAATGCGATTAAAAAATTACTAAATTTTTTTTTACAGTTTCATGCATGTAATGTGATATAGGTATGTACTTGTTTCTAGTGTCATATTGACTAAAGAGATATTTTGTTGGAAGTCACATGCTAGTTAAACCACTTAGGAGCAGATGTTCTCAAACTGTGGGTTGCAAGTCCCCTTACAGGGGATTGTGGAAGCCTCCATAGGGGAACCACTGAGTAGTAAGAAAAATATAATAAACCAATCTCAAGTATTTTTTCTGTGTAAATGGTAATATGTTCAAAAAGAATTGCTTTCTCTTCTCACACTCTTCATGGTCTGGTTGTACTACAGGGAATAGTTTAAACTATGTGTAGAATTGGAGGGGTCTCGAGTTCTTCATCTCTTACAACAGAGATCTGACACTGAACAAAGCTTGAGAACTGATGTATCAGAGTTACTTGTAAGTAGCCTTATGTTGGTTATACTAGTATTAATTCTGTAGCCTCATATTGGTTATATTAGTATTGATGCTGTAGCCTCATACTTGTTATATTAGTACTAAGCTTCATGCTGGCCATCTACATATTATTCTAGATGTATTCATGTGCTATCTAAACTAGTACTATATTTATTAAAATTTGACATTTTGATTTGGGCTACCTCCAAAATTAAATTATCAATGATGAAGATTCTGTGCAAGGTGTAGTACACTTCAATTTTGGACAGAAGACTATCCTGGCTTGGAAGTAGTTAAAAGAGCTATTATAATAGACTATGATATAATTTACACTTGATTTTATATTGTGCATTACATAATGTGATACACAAGAATACATTGATAAATGAATAAAAAATAGACAACTGAATTTTCAGTTCTAACAGGTCACAACACAGAAAACATATATATATATATATATATATATATATATATACACAC